TAACTCTGAAACCTAATGGCGGCGATGGAAATCAGCGGCACTGCGTGCAATGCCCCGACTGGGAGCTAATGAGAGGGGGCGGAGCCTGGGAAGGGTATTACCTTTCTGCTCGTTTAGCTCAGGTTCATCACTGCTTTAGGCAGAGTTTTGTTTATCTCTAGCCCCTTATGTGTGGTACCACTAACATAAGAAGGAATTCTATACAGGTTTTTCAGACAACCTCATAAGATGGGAAAAATAGTAGTTCCAGTTGCATGTTAAGCCCCCACCCATCTGACAATGAACAGGTTGGTTACAGCAATGGTGCTGGCATTTACAATTTCAGTGCAAGTGTTGCTGCTTATTTAGTAAATGAATACAGTTCATCAGTGAGCAGAACATCAGTGAGCTGCAGCACAAGGCTGCTGCTGAAGCTGGGATTCAGCCACAGCGGGGGAGCGTGGAGCAGTCAGCAACTGGGGATGAGGCCGGTCTCCCAGGTGCTGGCCCTACAGGACATGGCCACGAATGATCCCATTGCAAGGCACACCCTTGCCTCTGCAATCCTCTTTCTTGGCTTCCTCCTTTTTCCTGCATGAACTTGTCATTTCATGCGTTATTTCCTTCCAGGGTACATGCATCTGGAGTATGAATCTCATCTCTATCAGAGAGCAGTAGTTCTCCCACTGCGTCATTACACATCTCCTGGTGGTGAAGAAAGAGATACCAAGAGGTCCTTTCCCCCAGGCATGGGGGATTTCCGGAGGGCTAGGACACACTGCTGGGTCCTGTTCCCCTCTCTGCACACCCAGCTTCTGCAGTCACAAAAGCATCTCTGGCTTGTTCCTTACCAAGTATATTAGGGTAGAGAGTGACATCAGGAAATGTTGAAGTTCAGTAGCTATAGATGAGTCTCTCTTTCTCCTCTCCCTGGTCGGGCACTGTAAAGTAAGGGCTAGCAATGCTAGTGACTGCAGCAAAGCGGTGGTAAGGCTGCCCTTTTGCTTTTATATAAGGTAACATGTGAAACAGAAAAATGGACTTGTGTCTGTTTGCTTTCTAAGGATGTGTAAAATAGCTTGAGGCTTTTGCTGTCCTGTTAGTTTGGTTTTAGATTTGGCTTGTTTATAGTCTGACTTCCTAAAATCCTTGTGAATGCAGCCACAATGTGTATCTGTCTGCTTGGCCATCCGGTTGCATCGCCGCAGAGTTTGAATCTGTTGCCTAATTTTGGCTCAGTCTGAGGTGGAGGGTCTCAAGGAAGTTAAAATTCCTCACGACGGACCAGCCTTCAGCGTGGGCACAGCCCTGCGCAGGCAGCATGCAGGAGCCAGGCATGTGGAGGTGCAGCGTGCGCTTTTGTGGTACTCGTGCGTTACTGAGCCCACCCAGGCAGCTCGGCTCTGGCCTTCCCTCGCTCTGCTCCTATGGGGACTGTTCCTTTACACGAGGCATACCCAAAAAGCCCCCGCTAGCTCTCCTGCCACAGGGCTGGGAGACGTGATCTGTTCATCACAGACCTTGCACAAATCTCTTCAATTAGTCCTGCAGCCATACCTGCCTGGACAGAGTGCAGCTACTGCGCAAGTCTGTGTCTTGTAGCTTTTGACCCAAGTCAGGGTTAAAAACACACATGTAAACCCAAAGTCAACTGACATCTCTTTTCAAAGAGGTTGGCATTTGGGGTTTCTTGTTTTACTTAACCTGTGCGGTCTTCTCACAAGTCACAAAGACCCCTTGTAAACCAGTGGACTTGGGTGTGCTCCTGAACTGCGTACCACAGCGTCTGCACCCTGACCTCACGTTACAGTGAGATCTGGGTGTAAACCAGCTTTTTCTCTGCTTTTACACCTCTGTTTCTTGGAGAAAAAGTCATGGCCTGCTTATGGCTCAGGAGGGTGTCCTGGTTTTGGCTGGGATAGAGATAATTATCTTCCTAGTAGCAGGTATAGTGCTGCGTTTTGGATTTAGGGTGAGAATAATGCTGATAACACACTGATATTTTGGCTGTTGCTGGGCAATGTTCACACCAAGTCATGGACTTTTCAGCTTCTCATACTGCCCACCAGCAAGTAGGCTGGGGGTGCACAAGAAGCTGGGAGGGGACACAGCCAGGACAGCTGACCCCAACTGACCAAAGGGATATTCCATACCGTATGATGCTCCATATATAACTTGGGGAAGCTGGCCAGGGGTTTATAACATGGCTCAGGAAACAAGCTGGGCATCAGTGGTCTGTGGTGAGCAATTGTGCTGTGTATCACTTGTTTTGTATATTCTTTTATCATTATTATTATTATTCTCTTCCTTTTCTGTCATATTAAACTATCTCAACCCATGAGTTTTACCTTTTTTCTGATTCTCTCCCCAATCCCACTCACGGGGGATAGTGAGTGAATGGCTGCGTGGTTGTTTTAGCTGCCAGCTGAATTAAACCACGACAAGGGAGAACCGGTGAGCTCAGGCCAAGTCACAGCAGGATCCCCAGGTGCAGGATGCTCGGGAACCCAGTGGCAGAAGCCTGCTGCTCGGTACGGACACAGCCAAAGCCAGCCACAGAGGGGCACTCGTACAAAAGTGCATTGCTACAGGAACAGCGGGAATAGACTTTATTTAATGATTTGTACAAGGAACACAATAGTAATTCAATAGTTCCATTTATTAATTGTCAAATAGTAATCCACTGCAATAAGAAACAAAAAGTCAACACAAAAATAAGTTGCGGTTTGTGTGTGTGTGTGTGTATGTGTTTGTGTGTGTGTGTAACTTAAAATTGCAAGAGCAAGAAGAAAAAATAAACTTTTAAGTGATTATGTTATATACAGTCAGTATCATCATGTTACTTTGCTGGATAGATTAATTTGGTGTTATCCAATCATAGCAACAGGCCTAAATATTGCTGCAAATAACTGGTGGGCAAACCCAAAGCAGAAAAACAAACCCATAAATAAGATCCAGGATTAAAGGTATCTCCTGCAGAAAAGAAACAGTGGTGCTTTGTGTCATATCTGGAACCCTTTCATAATGGATATTTTGTGCTAAAACTCCTCTTTATGTGAACATACATGGAATTCCATCATTTAAATAAAGTGGAAGAAAATCCCAACCTTTCACAACTGCCTTTTTTTTCCCTCCCTTCACTCAATGTGTTTAAATTATTTTTCTATACAAGGTAAGTACATTGTCTGTACAAAGTTAAATATACATATTTACAGTCAAACTTCTGAGACACTGAGTCTTTTCTTCCGCTGACCTAAGCGGAAGACAAGCCTACTTGATTTCAAACCCAGGAGCATGGCTAGTTTATCAAAACATTGCAAGTCGTGCTAACAGTTAGTTGTATTCTTAATAAATCTGTATAAAAGCATCAGCATAAAAATAGGCATTTTATATTATTAAATACGGCTTATGACAAAATAGCAATCTAACCCTTTGCTATTTGTACGGTAACTGTAGGAAGCAGGGTCTGATAGAACCGGTTTTGTTTATGCTTTTTCTTAATAACAAAATGTCTATCAAAAGAGTATTCATAGTGGATTTACAGGCAAGCAGACAGGCAAAGCCATGGGGTTTTTTTCCCCTCAAGGAAATACAAATCTATGTAACTGATAATAACTGCTGGGAACAGCTTTCCAAATTGATTAGACTTTTTTGTATGACTAAGAGGCAGCCAAAATGCATGTATTTATTTGAGACCTACCATCAACACTGTAACCAAAAAAAAAAAGGCACCCTCAGTGATACATTGCTCAGATTTATCAGAGCCTCTAAGATTTAATGCCAGGAAGGAAGCAAAGCCTTCATCCCAAAGAGTATGCTTCAAAAGTATGTGATCCTTTAGGGCCAGCAACAGGGCAGAAGGAGCAGAGAAAGCGAAGGGCCATAGGACTCAAACAGGATTTGCTCTCACAGATGTTCTATTTATTGGTTCTATTCCTTGTGCAGATAAATGTCAAAGCCAGGCTGATTTCTCTTTAAAAAACAGGACTCAGTTCACTTTGATGCACACAATACACTCACACACACACACCCTGCACAAAAGAAAAAAAACCCTGCAGAGATAGGTAATACGTTATTAAAGGGTTTGGAATTTTTGCGCATTTGCATTATGTTTTGGCTGGCCTCTCTGGATTAAACTACCAGTCCCAAACTCCTTTTCCACAGAGAGCTTTTCAGTTTAACCATCTCAGCTGTCCTCTGCCTGTGCCGGGTTTACAGGTGCATGACATGAAGGAAGGGTTTTCTATGGAAGTGGAAAGCAGAGCAAAGTGAGTCTTCAGCGAAGCAGAAACCTGGCAGAAAGCCTGGCCTCCCTGACCCTTGCCACCGACAGGGAGCAGCTGCCAGGCTGCGTACTGCCCCAAAGCACTACCGTATCTCAACACACAAACAAAACCTATACCATGTGCTTCCCTGAAGCCTTCTCCGAGGTAAGTACTCCATACAAATTAAGATTATCACCAGAACTCTTGCTGGGAAGGGGAGAGGAATACACAAAGGCAGCAGTGTAAACTAGAAACTGTCTCTTCTTCAGCAAACAAATCACACCCTGAATCCACGGAAGCAGGGCTACACATTCAACTCAATACTATACCACATAACCACATCCTCCTACCACGTCTTGTCTCTTGTCTGTTACATTCATAAATTGCCTGTTTCTTCGCTGTTTAAAAACACCATCTGGAAAACAACCCCATCACTGTTGCGCTGGGATCACTGTTATTTTACAGGTACAGAAGCTTCACGTAGTTGCCTGGGAAGGTGCCAAATTGCCTTGTTCTCCTGGACGTACCTGTCACAAAATAAAACACAAGGAAGCCAGAGTAAGATGGAGCCAAGGGAGGAAGGCTTAGCGGTTTAAAAAGGTAGAGGTGGCAGCCTCTTCTGCCTGCAGGCATTGCTTTCTAAAACTTAACAGGAGTCCTCATCAAAGAGCCTTTTGCTACAGATGAGATGAGAACTGGTTCTGCTACTAATCATCCTTGGTCTTCCCTTTTAACAATTATTAAGGTGCTAGTGAAAGCTCCTGGACCTAGAGCTGAGGAGCCAAACTCCTATCAGTGTAAATGAGCCAATCTCCCTCCAGAAGAGGTAACGAGCCTAGATTTGCACTGTTGAGATGGAGAACACCATCCAGACTTGCATTCTTTGAAGGTAAAGGGCTAGATTTTGCTAACATACAGCACAGATGAGGCTGGATTTCAGGGACTGCAACTCTGATACATGTGTTCCCTTCGTCCCCTACTTGCCACTTTCTGTAACTTGCCATGGCTCCACCAGCTTTGGAAAAGCTACAGAAATCCAGCTTTCCTTGTTATTCTCTGTTGCTTTGCCATCTGCATGAGCAAGAAGGAGCAGCAGTAAGAGGGGAACAGGGAAATTAAGACGACAAAAGGAAAAATGAGACATCTAGCAAGGAAAACAAAGCTCCACCACCCTGCACCCCAATTTTAATGTTCTTAGTGGGAAAAGCTGAGAAATTGTGAAAAAAGTTGAATTGGTTTTGACACCGCAAATGACAGCAACTGACGCGCACACTGCAAAATTGCTCATCTGCATCTCAAAAAGCCCTGCTGACAGGCAAGAGTCACACTCACCCACAAACCAGCCGTCATCACATTTCTCCATGACATCGACAATGTCACCGTCCCTCAGTTCCAGCTCATCATCATTCTGAGGAGTGTAGCTGTAGAGGGCTTGGTAGCTAACTCTGAAACCGAAAAGATACCACACGTTAGCCATTGGATTTCCCTGACATCCCTTCAGAAGGAGACGTCTCCATCCCCCTTTCTAATTCCTATTATATTTTGTCCAATGCAGTCTAGACCTGTGTCTTCCATTTGAGAGGTGGAAGCCAATTGCACTAAATTGGCTGTGGTCACAAGGCCATGGCAGTAAAATGTGTCACGCCTGCACTGTGTGGGATATGTGGAGAGCTTCTGTTTCCCTTTTGTAATTGTGTCCATAGACTGTTACAACTGGAGTCTTCCTAACCTGCAGTGCCTAGAGTGTATGAGTGTGGACACCCTGCTGGATGCAAGCCAAAACCTGGATACACTCAATTCCTGGGCTAAATGAGACATCTCTTCCCTTGCCTAGGCACATAGGCAGGGCCATGAACGACCAAATGGCAATGTGAAGGACTTTAGAAAAAGATACTGCCTACTCTACTGCGCTAAGAACGTTGCATAAATCACGGCTGAGGAGTTATGGCACAAACTAAATCTGAGGTTGAATCCTGCTCAGACATACTACTCGCACCAGAGGCACTCTGTATTTATCAGAAAGGAACTTTATGGAGTGGATATAATCTCTGGGCAAATTTGAGGAGGCTTGGATCCCCTGGCTGTGGGGCATGAAAATAGAGCTGATGTGAGACTTTCCATTCTGCTTAAAGTGGCAGGCAAAAGCAAAGACTCCTTTCTGGATCCAACTGCCAATGAACTTCAGTCCTCAGCACACAGTGCAGGCTACTAGTCTCAAAATCATCAGTGAAAGGCTCCACCAAGCTTAATGGCAGCTCCAGTTTAAAACCTACCAGATAGCTTTGAAAATCTCAGCCTTGGTCTCTCAGATCATTCAGCCACCAATTCATCTGTGGAACTGGCCAACAACGCACCAAGTTGCATCGGTGCTGGGACTGCTCACTGTACTGTGAGAAGCTAAGAGGGGTGAACACATTGACCCACACCATATGAGCCAGGTGTAGCCAGTAGATACTAATTTGTCTCCAGCTTCAAGATACAAAGATATTGAGATAGTCTCCAAAACCAGCATTAATCAAGTGCCCAAAGGAGATCCAGTCCTGGATCATGAGGTCATTGTTTCAGGTGCTATATAGACACAAAGGTCCCAGTTTTAAACTACTCATTATGATGATGTGGCTATTTTTGCTCTTTAAAGAAAAGTTGACACTTTCCCATAATTCTAATTTAACTCCTGAAACGCTGAAGCTTTCACACCTCCCCATCTTCACCACCAGTCAGAGACAAGGCCCCTGGAAGAGATGGGAGACAAAAGGACTTACATGTCTCGTGGTGTTTGACTTCTGTCAGGGCTGGCTCCTTGCTGCTGTGCTTGAGGTTGCTGAGAAATGATGAGAGATGGTTTATTGTCATTAGAGGTCACCTTGTGGCGAGAGTCAAGAGGCTGAGAAATAGTACTGCAGTAATGAACAGACTTTTCTGCAATGTTTATGATCTCATTGCAAACAGCTTCCTGCGTGGTAGGCAGCATTGACATCCAAGAACACCCAAAAAACAGTCAACAGGGGGGAGGGAGGGGAAAATATAGACAAGAAGAGATGGGACATTCCAGATGTAGCACATAAGTCCAGTGTGGAAAAAAAAAAAAAAAAAAAGAGAAGAGTTGCAGATCCAGGTAAATATCCAGGTAGTGGTGTGCAGAAGGGATCCAGGTGTAAGCATGGAAAAATAGGCAAGATACAGAAGAATTTGGCATTTAGTTTGAAGATTTGTAACAAATACATATGCATATATTTTAAAAAGCAGCAGCATAAGAGGTTGCAATTAGTTATGCAGTGGCACCATTACAAATGCTATGAAGTCAGTTGAAGAATGCAAGGCGGGCCGCTCCATTCATGCATTTTGCTTCATTTAACTTATACCCAGGGACTGGCAGCACAATTGGCCCAATTTCTCATTGGCTATGAATGTTTTTTGAAGTGCTAAATTCCCTTTTTCCATTGCAAACAGAACAATATATGCAAATAGATAAATATGTACCTACTTTGCAGCTAAAAATGGTGCTGGCACTTTATCTCTACTGAAGTGTTACTGTCTGGATGTAGAGAGTCTAGGACTACACATCTGATTTAAACAGTGGCCTTACCACATAGCTCTTTTCAGACTCTGTGAGATCTGGTCCAGCTCTCAATGAATGGTGGGAAGGCTGTGTGATCACCAAGCAAATGATAAGGAAGACATTTTAGCAGATGTTATATCGGTCAGAATTAAAAAAAAAAAAAATTAAATGGAGTGCAGACAACAAAAGAAAATGAACAACTGTTCCCCTCCCCACCCCAACACCACGCTTCTTGGACAACAAGGTCTTTCATTTACACAAAGAGACATTAAAGCTACAGTAATGCAACTGCTCTGCAGCACACAGAATACTGCAAAGAGAAAGGTGACAGCAAAACAGAAGCTCAGAGCAGGGAATCAGAGTGGAAAGTTATGGACACCACTACAACCAGAAATGGTACATAGTGTCATACTGCATTCCTGTAGAGAGAAAAAAAAAAAAAAAAGGACAGAAGCACATACTGGAAAGCATCAAACTTGAAAGGCCAATAGCATGCTGAGAGGAATCTGCTGTTTATGGAAAAGTCCTCCATGACTTTGACACAGGAGAGAACTGTAACTCACTTGCTTCTTAAAAAAGACCAGCTCAGGTCCTCAGAAGGCACAGTGCCATGTAGCCCCATCAAAATCGCTCTAGCTTGCACCAAGCAAGGATCTGAGCTGCTCTGTGAATTCCCACAACAATGCAGAGCTGCAGGTCAGAGGAGGCCTTGACAGGAAAATGCAGCTCCAAACATCACCGGTGAAGCTTCTGGATTTTGCCCTGCCTCTCTCCCCAGTCACACCTCTTCACAGGGACTCATGTGTCCCAGCGCACAGCAAGGAAAATTGGGGTGTTTGGGGTTGGAGGTTTTATGGGGAAGGTCACTGAAAAGTCACACAGGTATCCAGAGCCTGGTTTTGCATGGGTTTTGTGCATATTCAAACACCTACTGAAAGCAAGGGGCACGCTGTGAGCAAACGGGATATCTGAACTAGAGCAGGGCTGTTTGTACTACCTGCAGGACTGCCTGGCAAAGTGGATGGGGTGAGACGCAGAGCATTGCCATCCTCTGTGATCACTCAACACAATTTTCAACCCAAGTTTCAAAGGCCTTGATTTTTATGCTTTCCCTCCTCTTTATTCACTTCAACAATGCCCTCAGTAAAAGGCTTGCTTTCTCATGGCATCCCAAGACAGAGCAGAAGCAGAGGATAAAGGGGTTTATGACACCTTCAGCCCAAGCATGATCAAAAAGGTTGGAGAAGTGCAGGGTGATGAGCTCATCCCTGTCTAATTCCCATTCTCAAACCACATCTTGGACCTCTGGAGCCGTGCCCATCATTGTATTAAAGCAAACCATCTCTTGTCTCAAGGACAGTGGCCCACTCTAGGCCAACCCAACCCCACAGCAACTCCTTTGTAGTAAGCTGTACTGTCTGGGGCTGGAATCTGGGACCACTGCCCTACGAAACAATGCTCTGTTACCATGTGTATTTCTATAGAGAGAAAATGAAATGCAAGTTGGATGGGCTAATTGCAGTGGAATTCACATTCAAAGTATTTAATGTGGAGCCTGAAATTGTCACAGGATTTTTGGAAGTCATTTCTGCCTCTCTATCATCAGTCCTGAAAGGCAAATGGAATAATTAGAAGTTTAAAATTAATATTGTGCAGACCAACTGGATATAGTGCATCAAATCTGATGAGATCAGAGCTAACTCAGGTGGTCAAATAGCTGGGAAAACCAAATTCCAGGCTGAGGCAAGAGGTGGCTGTAAGAATGATTTTTTTTAATTCAAGAAAATTAAAATGCTTCTCTGCTCCATACTAATAAATTGACTAGTGGAATTGCTCCATGAGCTCCTAACACTGCATCATCATTTCTCATTGATTACTTGTGACCTCTTGAACTAGCTTTTTCTCCAAAAAACATTAATAACTATGAATTAAATTAGTTATTTGAAAGCTAAAAAAATTGACACTACCTCTTAATGCTCCATGGTGTGGGCTTATACCTGTAATACCAGGAGGTGCAGCCTAGCAGCATCAGAAACTTGGCCACATTCCCTTTCCTGGCAGGATCCCCACAGGGACTTCCATGAGGCAGCTGGACAGGGACAGAGGCTGAGCATCCCCCTGCCCTCCTGGCAGCCCCCAATTCCTGACAAGACATATGACTAAGTGGATCCCCTCTGGCCTTTGCTCCAGAGATCAGGCAGCTCCTACCAAAGCAGCGGGTGTCTCTGCGCTAACTCCCAGGGCTACGGCAGAGCCCTACAGTGAGGTGATGAAACACCCTGAAGTCAGCAGCTATGCAGCATTAGCCCAAACAGGATGAAAAACTGACCAGATCCTGTAATTTTAGGCTGGAAATGTACCACCCCACTGCTTCAAACAAGTCACCCTGATAGGATGGCCTAGATGGCTTTTTTTTTTTTTTTTTAAACTACATTATTCTTGCAGGGAGAGAAGCTAAAAAATAGTTATAGGTCCAAACACTCTTCAAACACAGGTTCAGAAAGCCCATGTGCTACCAGCAGTGGTGGCTCCATGTACCACGGGCAGCCAAGGAATCAGTGAGTGTGAGCCACAACTGCAAAGTATAAAACATGGAGATTCCCCAAAACACTGAGCCAACCCTGTTGCTGCTGGAGATAAACTGAGCGCCCTAAAGTGACCAAGGATTCACAACCCACAAGGACAACTCAACTCCTACCCTCTCAGTCACACTGCATGCTTCGTTAAGACTAAGTGCATAAACTTCAGCAGGTGCTTAAGTGTGTCTGTCTCCATGTCTACAGACTATACAAATATGTGGCACAGTCAGTCGTAAAGCACAGCTGGCCACTGTTTCCACCTCATATGGAGTTTGAGGATGGATCTAAAGACCACCACAGGCTTGTAAGAATACTAGAAAAAGGTCCTATGTTAAGAGCCCTGAGGCAGATTTTTACTGTTAGGAAGAAAGATGCTGGGGCTACTCAATAGCGGTCTCCCTGCTCCTAGCCAAGTCAAGCATCATCAGTGTGTCTACCCACTGCAGCTCTGGTTTACTTGTCTTCTTCCATCCTTTTCTGGTGGAAGTTAGAGGACTACATAAGCAAAAAGAAAGCTAAGCAGAACAGACTAACAGACAGACAAGACAGACAAATTGGTATCCTCTCAGAGACGGGCACACAGCAGCAGCAATGCTCCCACACGTGAACAAAGAACCATGAGCAGGGAGGACTCCCCAGCCCAGCAGACAGAAAAAGGAAATCCTCTGCACACACCAAGCCCCAGCTCTGGCAGAAGGAAGGGGAAAGATGGCCCAAGAGCTCTCACAAAGGACACTGAAAAGGCTGCAGTGTGGTGCAGCCTGACCTAAAGGCTATCAAAGTCAATGGAAAGACTCCCCAGCCCCTGGATCAGAAGCTGAAGGCTGTGTCTACAGCAGAAAAATGCATCTCCCATGGGGAGCAGATACCAATGCTTGCTGCAGGCTGCACAGCTCTGGTTTTGACAGAAAAGCCATTGTGATGAATCTGTGGAGCAGCAGCAAACCACTAGGGAGGGATGAAAGCTTACCTTGGAGATGGTGCTAAGTAATGAACGTGTTAAGCAAGGGTAGCTGGTCTGTGCTGAGGAACATGGGAGTTGAGCATCTTCCTCATATGCTCTCCTCTCCACTAGCACAAAGTGGGTGATACTACTCACCACTCTGCACGAGTGGTTTTGTACTAGCGGAAAGGAGCAGACAGCCCCCCCACCCCCCGATATCCCTCACACTGCCAGGTGATGCCTGGGGGCTTGTTCTTTTTTTCTTTTTAGTTTGGACTGTGAAAATAAACAAAAGGGAATAACCTCAGAATAGCTAAAAGAGCCATTGCACTTTATATTACTTAATGGAACAGGCAAGAACACAGTCCTTATCCTAACCCTGTACCAAAGGGTTAAAACCTGCAAATCAACTCTGGGTCAGAATTTCATAACTGGGGAACTTCTCTATAATGAGAAAGAAAACTAGAATTCAAAATGGTAAAATACTTCAAACACCAGGGATAGACAGTAATGGCAATAAAAACCAAATGTAATGTCTCATTTCCTTGTCTACTAAGTGCTTTTCTCATTTGATTAAAATCAATGAAAAGATGACAGATTTTTGAAAAGGCCTCCAGGGTATTACCTGCAGCTCTGCTGAAGCCATCAGCCTCTGTATGGGTCATGCAAATAATGAGAAGTCATTTGCACATATAAATAGCGCTCCTGCTCCCTAAACAACTGTAGACCCAGGGCTGGAA